TGGGTGAGGCAGTGGGTGAGGCAGTGGGTGAGGCAGTGGTTGAGGCGCTGGTAGAGGCAGCGGTTTAGGCAGGGGTTGAGGCAGCGGTTGAGGCAATGGTGGAGGCAGCAGTTGAGGCAGTGGTATTTAATAACATGTTATAAATAATAATAATACATATTAACATTTATTATTATTATTATTATTAACATGTATGTTATTAAATACCACTGCCTCAACCAATGCCTCATCCGCTGTCTCACCCACTTCCTCAACTGCTGCCTCGCCCACTGCCTCAACCGCTCTCACCCACTGCCTCGCCCACTGCCTCACCCACTGCCTCAACTGCTGCCTCGCCCACTGCCTCACCCACTGCCTCAACCACTCCCTCAACTGCTGCCTCTCCCACTGCCTCAACTGCTTCCTCAACCACTGCCTCTACCACTCCAGTCGCACTCAATCTACAAGCACCAAACACAATGAATTATTGTGAAATATTTGGAGGAGCATGGAGACCTATGCTCACTCCAGCATAAACAAAGCCACACTGACGATGTGTCAACCACTCCCTCGCATTTTTGTACAATTTCCTTCTTCAGTTCTATCGCATTTATTATTATTATTATTATTACTATTGTTATTATTAGCAGCAGCAGAAATGTTTGATTCTTTGCTGTGTTCAAGAGTAAACGCATGATGTCACTGTCCAATACCTGTCCAAATAGCCATTCCAATATGCAGTCATGAATGGGTTTACATTATTTATACTGTAGTTTAGTTTAATAGAAAATAATGAACAAACAAAACACTCGCCACACTGAGTGGTGGGAGGGCTGGCTGCCAGTTGCCGGGTCGGAGGGAGGGTAGTAGGGACTCGCAGGTGGCAGGAAACTTAAATATGATTTGGCGGCTGGGAATTTGGCAGTTGGGAATTCGCGAATGTGTGAAGCCCGCGAAAGTTGAAAACGCGAATGTTGAGGGAGACCTGTATTGAAATGAAGAAAGAGATAACTGCAAAGTACGAAAGTAGAGTGAGTGTGTCGGAGCTGGCCAAGTTGTATACAAAACCCCAATCAACCATCTCTACTATAGTGACCAGGAAAATGGCAATCAAGGAAGCTGTTGTTGCAAAAGGTGCAACTGTGATTATGAAACAGCAACCGCAAGTGTTAGAAAATGTTGAGAGACTGTTATTGGTGTGGATAAATGAAAAACAGATAGCAGGAGATAGCATCTCTCAAGCGATCATTTGTGAAAAGGCTAGGCAGTTGCATGAGGATTTAATTAGAAAAAATGGCTGCAACTAGTGGTGATGTGAGTGAATTTAAGGCCAGCAAAGGTTGGTTTGAAAGATTTAAGAATCATAGTGGCATACATAGTGTGATTAGGCATGGTGAGGCTGCCAGTTCAGACCAAAAAGCAGCTGAAAAATATGTGCATGAATTCAAGAGTACATAGAGGCTGAAGGATTGAAACCTGAACAAGTGTTTAATTGTGACGAAACAGGCCTGTTTTGGAAGAAATTGCCAAGCAGGACTTACATTACTCAGGAGGAAAAGGCACTCCTAGGACATAAGCCTATGAAAGACAGGCTTACCCTTCTGATGTGTGCCAATGCTAGTGGTGATTGCAAAGTGAAGCCTTTATTGGTGTATCACTCAGAAACTCCCAGAGCGTTCAGGCAAAAGAATATCCTCAAGGCTAATTTGTGTGTGCTGTGGAGGGCAAACACTAAGGCATGGGTCACTAGGGACTTTTTCTATGACTGGTTACACCATGCATTTGCCCCCAATGTGAAAAATTACCTCCTGGTATTAGACAGTGCCCCTGGTCATCCTACAGACTTGGCAGAGTGACTTTCTGGGGACATGAGCTTCATTAAGGTCAAGTTTTTGCCTCCTAATACCACTCCTCTCCTGCAGCCCATGGATCAGCAGGTCATTTCCGACTTCAAGAAACTGTACACAAAAGCTATGTTTGAAAGGTGTTTTGAAGTGACCACAGACACTATTAAACCATACCCCGGCCGGGATTGAACCCGCGGTCATAGTCTCAAAACTCCAGCCCGTCGCGTTAGCCACTAGACCAGCTAGCCACAATAAGATTCATCCAACTAGGTATATTTCTACACCATAGGAAGGTTAGCACAGGCACCACTGTGACCACAAATGCAAGTTTTTACAGACGAATCTCCCGGCCGGGGTATGGTTTGTTTGCAATCGTGCCATTACGATTTCGTGAGTCACAGACACTACTGACTCTAAAGGAGATTTGGAAGGATCACTTTAATATCCTCATTTGTGTAAACCTTATAGGTAAGGCTTACGAGGAAGTGACTAAGAGGACTTTGAACTCTGCCTGGAAAAAACTGTGGCCAGAATGTGTAGACAAAAGGTATTTCGAAGGGTTTGAGGCTAACCCCGAGAAGCCTATGCCAGTTGAGGAATCCATTGTGCCATTGGGGTTGGAGGTTAGTGGGGAGGATGTGGAAGAGTTGGAGGAGGACAATGAAGAACTAACCACTGATGAGCTGCTAGATCATCTTCAACAGCAAGAGGCCAGACCTGAGGAAACTGCTTCAGAGGAGGGGATGGATAAAGTGAAGAAGTTGCCTACTTCAAAGATTAGGGAAATGTGTGCAAAGTGGCTTGAAGTGCAAAGCTTTTTTGATGAAAATCACCCTCAGACAGGCTACTGCAAGCCGTGTTGGCAACCTGTACAATGACACTGTTGTGAACCACTTTAGGAAAGTCATAAAGGAACGAGAGGTACAGGCCTCTATGGACAGATATGTTGTGCTACAGAAGTCCAGTGACTCTCAAGCTGGTCCTAGTGGCATTAAAAGAAGGGAAGTAACCCCGGAAAAGGACTTGCTACCTCAAGTCCTAATGGAGAGGGATTCCCCTTCTAAACAATAGGTTCAACACTCTCCCCTCCTCCCATCCCATCAGTCATCACCAGATCTTCATTAAAGGTAAGTGTCATGTATTCTATTCTTAGTAGAGTACATACTACAAACTGTGCATGTCTTCTTCAGTTTGTGTGCATTAAACTTAATATTTCATGTGGTAAAAGTTTTTTTTTCATACTTTTGGGTGTCTTGCATGGATTAATTTGATTTCCATTATTTCGTATGGGGAAAATTGATTCGCTTAATATCGCGAACCGGGGGTCCACTGTACAGTGCAGTCGCTGTTTTAAACCAAAAACAGATTTTTTTTTCTCATTATGCACTGTGTGCTGCAGGATTTTTTTTATACTGTGCACACTAAGCACATAGACCCATTCTTTCATATGTAGGCCTACCAGCTTTCTCTCACTAGATTTGAAGGCGCTAAAATTTAGGCGTACTAGTACGTCGATAACCCTGGTGCGTAAGCCGTACTAATACATCGGAAACCCTGAAAGGGTTATAACCCTCATTCATATTTCATGGGGCTGATCATAGAACTCTCCTTCAACTACATTCAGCCTTAATTTTATCCAAACTTGATTGTGGCGACCAGATATATTCAGTGGCCTCTCCTACAACTCTCTCTAGCCTTGATCCCATCCATCACCAGGGATTACGTGTGTGCCTCGGTGCTTTTCGCTCTTCACCTGTTGAGAGCCTCTATGCAGAGGCAAATATTCCACCCTTGACCAATCGCTGTGATGCTCATTGCCTTCACTCTTATATTTGCTCTCATAACCTCTGCAATCCTTCCGTATATAGGATAGTCACGGATTATAGTAGAAATTCTTTATTTGTTCATCACTCTGTTCCTTTTCTCTCTGCCTACATTTGCTCTTGTCTTCTCTTCAATTACCACCTTTCTATGTTCATGTAGCATCTAACTTTTCCCTACCCTCTTGGGAAGTTCCGACAGTTTGTGTCTGTTCTTTCCCACTGCCATATGCGAAAGCTCAACTGCCTACGGTGGCTTCTCTCACTTTTTCTTAACCACTTCCAATCTCATTCTCGTGCCATCACAGTGTACACCGATGGTTCCAAGTCTTTTGATGGTGTCGGATTCGCAGCAGTGTTTCTGGACAGCGTCGTGCGAGGGCATTTATTATCCTCTGTTAGCATTTTTATGGCCGAATTGTATGCCATTCTCGTAGCAGTTATCCATATTGCATCTATGCCTGTGTCACCATTTGTGGTTGTTTCAGACTCCCTTAATGCGTTACAGGCTAAAAAAATTTGATACATACCATCCCCTGGTTCTTCGTATGCAAGTTTGATTACGCCGTATCTCTAGGAAGCACAAATAGTTTTTTGTTGGGTCCCCGGTCATGTTGACATACAGAGCAATGAACAGGCAGACACTGCTGTGGTCAGCAGTACATGACCTCCCAGTTCCATTTACAGATTATTTTGCTGTAATTGTACCCCCCTCCCCTCATTTGCAACAACATTGGTCTGATCTGCTACATAAATTGCACTCTAAGTAGTATAGGTTTCTGGCTGTCATCACTGCCAAGGTTGGGAGACTACTCTCTCCCGTCTTCTCATTGGCCACACTTGCCTTACTCACAGGTATCTCGTGGAGAGGTGCCCTGTTCACCGAGAATTGTCAGGTTCCAGTTTGTTAGCCATGTTTTGTTGGACTGCCTACTATCAACGAGCATGCAGAATTTGCCTCCAGCATCGTTACCACTCTACTGCCCTTGCTTTATCTTCCCTTCTTGCTGATGGACCCTCTATTATTATTATTATAATCAAAAGAAGTGCTAAGCCACAAGGGCTATGGACCCTCCTTTAACCCAGACTCTCACTGACTTTTTGACAGCAACTGATTTACTGCACAGACTTTGATGATGATGCCTCTAGCACTCCTCACAGCCCTTTCTACCTCTCTTGCTACCCAATACCCCTGCCCTACTGCACTGTATGACCCTTGTATGTTTAGTGCTTTTTTTTATTACAATATATTTGCCATATAAATATATTTAATATAAGACTTTCTACTCTTTAATAGTATGAAATAATAGGATAAATTTATTTTAGTTTGTAATATTTTTTTTTTTCCTTTTAGAGGGAAATGATGACCCAGTCATGAATGGTAACACACAAGCCGATGGAAATTCCTGAGGGCGGATGGGGAAATGTAAAAAACCACAAGAGGCCTTTGCTAACCCCAAAAAATGTAACTTGCTCTAGAATTTGTTGACTGGAGTGAAGATAAGAATATTTTTCAAAATATTGCCTCGCCTATAAGGATGTTGAAACAGTAATTATTTTATTTGTATGTATTTTTCTTACAAGTACTGAATATCTCTATAGCTATTTATTTATACAATAAATAAAGTTTGTTTCACAAATTACTAACTATGTATTAACTATTTAAAATGTATTCATTGGCTTTCATTATGGAAGCTTAAGTGATCACAATTTTGAACAAGTTAGGTGAATCAATTATATGAAATTATAAAGATAAACTTGATGTCAAGGTCTTTATAGTGGATGTTTTTTTTGAAGCACATTACTTGCTCTTCTTAATGGGTAGTTACAATGCAGTACTGTAATTTTTAATTTTATGCTGGTATGTTTGTATACAAGCTAAACATAACAATGGCTTAATTTATTATATAATATTGAATTGCATCAGGTACAGCACAACATTGTACGTTTATCTGTTGCAAGGATAGTTTATTATTATTATAATAATAATAAAAAAAAGAGCGCTAAGCCACAAGGTTTATTATTATAGAAATGGGAAAGCTGTAAACCTGTAGGGGTCATAGTACTTGGGTATAAGAAGTATAGTGCCAACTTCTTGAAGGATATCAAGGGCAATGAATTACTTTTGTTTATTATAATCAAAAAGAAGTGCTAAACCACAAGGGCTATACAGCACTGCTACTTTTGTCTAGATTGTGTAAAAATTAAGTTACAGCATTATTACTAAAAGCTAATCCGACAATGCATTTATTAAGGATTAATAAATGTGAAATTACTTCATAGACAATGCATGTTAAGTTATGAATAAACTTTGGGTTACTGTATTGTTCTTATTACACCTTTACTGTACAGTATATTAGTGCATATTTTTTTTTTTCTTTTACACCACTAGACATTTCTCACCAAGGTAGAATGATTCCCCCCCTCCCCCAAAAAAGGAACGTTCACCATCATTCATTTAATAGCTGCGTTGTCAGAAGTGCTAGGACATCACAGTTCAAATGATCCGAACAACAACATCCACACCTTGAGTGCAGGCACTGTGCTCTCCCAATTTTTTTTTTTTAACAGTAAGTACTACATTTTTTTTCTTTATAATCTTTGGTTTGCTTTGTGTTATACACTGAACATAGTCCATTTAAAATTTGACCTTACTTCAGAACCCAAAAATTTTACCCCTTAAAAATTTTTTGGCAATGTATGCAACTCTGAAATGAGTAGGGGGGGTTAGGAAGAAGCATGGGCCTTAGAAATGACATGGAAATTTAAAATTATGATGGAATAGGGGGCAAGTTACTTAAAACAAGGACTTTATGTGAATAGCGGGGCAGGTTAGGGATGTGGGAGAAAGATTTTTTTCAAGAAAAAGGGCCTTTAGACAAGAATGGTGATATGCCATGGTTGGCAAACCCTAAACTGTCCAAATAGATATGTTTGCTCCTAGCATCCAAACGAAGAAGTTTTTTTTTTTTCTTTCCCTTAAAAATTTGGGGGGCGATAGGCCCGAGTCGCCAAACACAAAAAAAGATCAAAACACTTGGTGGGCCAGTAAAAAAAAAAAATCTGGACCATTAGTACCTTGTGGAGCACCATTTCAACTAATGCCACGGGACAAATGGGGGGTGGCAAACGCCAGGGTTTCACTGAGTGATTCGCATTAACACTCCCCTTTTAAGGGGAAAGTAAAAATAGGTTTTTTTAAATACACAGGGGTGTGGGGTTGGGCCCACTATTTGTGCTCGGGTCTATGCCGTGCTCCTTTCAGGGGATTGACTTACTAGGGGGTCATTGGTCTAAGCGGGGGTGACATGGATCCCCTTCATGGCCAGAGGCCTGTTCAGTGTTCCCTCTTTTTTAAAAAAAAAACATTATTCGGCGGGTGGTTTTTGGCTGCTGTCTAACTCCCTCACAGTACACACAAGTAAGTTTTTTTTACGTGAAATTACCTAGGAAAACCCAAAAATCCGGGAAAGTCTATACGTGTTTGTAATAAAAACAAATACCATGACTCAAATGCATATTTTACTTGCTCAGAAATCAGGGGCGGCCTAAACCAACAGTTTTACAACCCCGTTTCCTGAACGACACCACAGGCAAACAAGAAGATAAGCAGAGTAGACAACACAAGCAAGCAAGACACACACTTTTGTAACGGTGAAAACAAATGAAGCAGGTTAGTTGGCAGTGCACCCCAAAGGCACGGGGCGCAACAGTTTTTACGACACTTGTCATAACCCCCAATTCTTAGGTTTCTATATACTCCAGGTCACCCAAGCAGACAAAAAAAAAGATAAGCAGGCTAGAGAGACGATAGACAGCATGTTTGTAAGTGAAAACAAATAAATTGGGGGTTTCCCTGAGTGTACATTCTCAAGTTCACTGCCTTCAAAAATTTACTGACACTTGTCATAACACCATGCTTCAAGATATACCCACATGCAAAAAACACTTTTGGGGACCTAAAATACTTTTATATTTTTATAGACTGTAGAAATGACCCAGGCGGGTGAAAATTTTTTACCTTTGTTGTGATATAACATTTGATCACTTCATACCAATATTAGGTCAAAAAAGATTGGCATGAAATCAAAAGAACTATTATCAAAAAGAAAAAAATATAAATTAAAATAAAAATAAAAAAAAAGTTATACGCAACACTTCTGCAACGCGGGAGCCAATTTGCCGTTAGGTGAGCTCCATCGCCAACTTCAGGGGTTTTATATCTCAGCAAGTACTGACTCAAAAAATTTTTAATCCTAAAACATATAAAAATGCGCTCTTTAAAAAAAAAAATCAAAATTTTCGAGCACAACGCGATAAACAAGATCTCATTTCAGTTTAAGGGTTTAACCTAGATTATAATAAAAACCTATTATAGAGGAGTTGAACGGGAATTTAATGCTGGGTGTTAAGGAGGGGTTTGGGGATTTCACAGTTGGGGTACTGATGGAGTAGGATTGCCCCAGTTCTTTTTGCTGATAGTTACTGCAAGACGAATTAACACTTTTTTTTCGGTACATGTATATTACCCTTACAGGTACCTATCAAAGTGGACCTTATTAAAATCCACTTTTATTCCTACCTCCTCTGCACAAACTAGACTTTCGGGATCTTGCCGTTTTGCCCTGATTCAATTTTTTCAACATTGTGTCCCTGTGAATTGGAATAACTTGTTTATTTTTGGTCTCAGTGCCGATTTCACTGTACCCCTTTTAAAACTTCAACATTTTTGGGCATACAAACACAAGCTTTAAAAACACCTGCTTTTACAAGAAGTTTTTTATCCCATTCTTCATTAACCCTTTCGGGGTTGAGCCCCCCTACCTTAAACCCTTTAAAGGGGGTTGACAGCCTCTCCCAAACTTTTCTCGGGGTCAAAAATCTTTAAAAAAAAAAAAAAAAAAAGATTTATTCTTATAAAAATGAGTTTTTTTTGGAGTTTTAAAAGCCTTTTTTTTTTTTTGCATCAATACTTAGAGACTGGGAATAAGTTGACAAATTGAACGCTTCAGCAACTCGCCGACTGGGGTCATTTGGGGAAATACACGGGACCCCCGCAACCTTTGGGCCCTTCAAAACGTTAAATCCGCATCCCGCAAACTTTTTATCCTAAGATTTTGCCTCGCAACCGCAAAAAACCCCTCAACGCTGTTGTCCGAGACCGTCTAAAATCGCCCTTACCCCCTCACGTTCCGCCGGGGCTTGTTTCCACCGCCTCCGCGGGAACATCCCCTACATCGGAACATTTCATATTATTCAGGTTTCGGTGATTTTTATCTGCAAAATAATGACCATGGGCCCCAAGAAAGCTTCTATGCCAAAAACCCACAGAAAAAGGTGAGAATTTCTAAAGAGATGAAAAAAGAGACATGATAAGTATGAAAGTGGGGGCTGTCCCGACTGGCCAGGTTGTATAGAAACCCCAAACAAACCCTCGCTACATTGTGGGCAACAAAAAAGGGAATCAAGGAACGTTCTTGGGCCCAAAAGGTTTTAAATGTGTTTTCGAAACAGAGTCGCAAGTGATGGAAAATTTGAAACTCTTATTGGTGTGGATAAAAAAAAAACAGCTACAGGAGATAGCGTCTCAAGGATCACAAGTGAAAAGGCTAGGAAGTTCAAGAGGGTTTTAATTTAAAAAAAAGCCGCAAAAGTGATGAGTGAGTGAAAATTTTTGGCCAGCAAAGGTTGGGTTTGAAGATTAAGAAGGTAGTGGGATACTAGTTGATGGGCATGGTGAGGCTGCCAGTTTTTTGGGCCACAAGCAGCTGAAAAAATTCAGGAATTCAAGGAACATAGACAGTGAAAGGCTGAAACCGAACAGTGTTTTAATTGTGATGAAAAGGCCGTTTTGGGGAAAATCCAAGCAGGACCTACATTACTCAGGAGGAAAAGGCATTCCCAGGGAAAAACCATAAAGAAAACTTTCTCGTTATTTTCCAAGCTATGTGATTTCAAAATGAAGCCTTTATTAGTTAACTCTGAAACTCCCAACCGTTCAGGAAAAGAAGTCCTCAAAGGGAAATTTTTGTGTGCTGGGAGGGGAAACATAAGGCATGGGTCACTGGCTTTTTTTTATACTGGGTTTCACCTTCATTTGCCCCCCAAATTTAAAGATTACCTAACTGAAAAGAAAATTTGAACTTAAGTGCCTCCTGGGTTAGCATGCCCCTGGTCTCCTACAGAGTGGCAAGCGACTTTTTGGGACATGAAATTCTTAATGAAGTTTTTTTCCTCCTAAACCACTCCCCCTCCTGGCCCTGGGCCACAGTTATTGCAAACTTTAAAAAACTTACACAAAAGCCTGTTTGAAAGTCTTTTAGTGACCTCAGAAATCAACTGACTCTAAAGACTTTTGGGGAGATCATTTAATACCCCATTTTGTAAACCTTAAGTAAGGCTTGGGGGGGAGTGACTAAGAGGACCTTGAACTCTGCTTGGGAAAAAACGGGCCCGAAAAGTTAACAAAAGGGGTTTGAAGGGTTTTAACAAAACCCCGAGAGGAGTATGCCAGTTTTAGGAATCCATTAGGGGTTTTGGGAAAACCTGGGTTAGATTGGAAGAGTTTTTTGGGGGAGGACAAAGAAGAACTAACCACTGATGAGCTGCTAGATCAACTTCAACAGCAAGAGGCCAACCCCCAGGAAACTGGTTCGAAGGAGGGGGGAGAGAAAGAAGAATTGCCCACTACAAAGATTAAGGAAAACTGTGCAAATTTGGGTAAAGTGCAAAAACCTTTATGGGTGAAAATCACCCTCACACAGCTATTGCAAGCCGTGCGGGACTATTACATGACAATTTGTAAACATTTTAGGGGAATCAAAAGGAACGAGGGTACAGGCCACTATGGACAGATTTTGTGCACAGAAATCCATGACTCGAAGCTGGGCCTATGGCATTAAAAGAAGAAGGAAAACCCCGGAAAGACTTACACCCAAATCTTAAGGAAGGGGTTCCCCTTCTAAAAACTAACCCTCTCCTCCTCCCATCCCATCAATCATCACCGATCTTTAATAAAAGTAAGTTTCATGTAATTGTGCATGCCTTTTTCAGTTGTGTTATTAAAATTTAAAATTTCCTGGGTAAAATGTTTTTTTTTTTTATACTTTGGGGGGTTGCCGGGTTAAATTTTTATTTCCATTTTTTCTTTGGGAAATTCATTCGCATAACGATAATTTTGCATAACAAAACTCCTTGCACGGATTAATATCCCCTATGTGGGGGTCCACTTGTTTTATTTTTGTTTTTTTTTTTTTTTTTTTTTCTTTTATTTTTAAAATTTTTTTTTTTTCAATAACTTTTTTGGCCTCTGAGACCAAA